TTAGTGAAATTAAGAAGTTTTGCAAGTCACATAATTACTTAGTAAGAGAGTAGAGGAGCCCTGGTGGTGCAGTGGTTAAGTGCTTTCCTGGTAACCACAGCTTTCACTCCACTATAGGAAGAAGTACCAATCTGCTTCTGTAAGGAGTTACATCCTTGGAATCCCTATGGGGGAAATTCTACTCTGTACTATAGGGTCACCATCAATCTGAATCAATTCTATGGCAACAGGTTTTTGGTATTAATGGAAAGGACATCTGTGTAGAGGACATGTAAATCCAAGAGTAGTGCAGAAGTCACTGAGTAAACCAGTTCTCATTTTATCCAATTATTTGACACCTGTCATATATATGGAGTCTGTAGATGGTACATGCAGTTAAGATACTTGGCTGCTAACCAAAAGGTTGGTGGTTTGGGTCTACCCAGTGATACCTCATAGATGCTTCCGAAGAAAGGCCTAGTGATCTGCTGAAATATGAGCCACTGAAAACTCCGTACACCCACTCTTCACTTGTTGACAAGGTTAGGTTCCAAACACCAGGTGGTTAGATGAAAATTTGCCTTACGTAAAAATGGAGGATTCCCATATCATTACATAACTGCCAAATATATCATTATGTAATTGTAAAATTGTGTGATTGCCTAATTGCCAAACCATTGATGCCAAACCATTGATGACTTAGCCAAGTAGACACATAAACTTCAGCATCTTTGCCAGAGTTATTCTTACTTTGTGCCCTGAAATGTTACTGCCATATGTTGTTAATGTGCAAAATAGTCACAGAGTAGATTTTTTACTCTAAATTGCTCTAAATGCAAAATGTCAGATAATGAGATGGTTGATGAGTGAATAATAGCTGTAGAGTACAATTGCCCTCTGACATACATAGGGTTACCGTGAGTCAGAATCTAGTCAATTGGAACCGGTTTGTCATCCATCTTACCTCCTTCATCAGAGAAAACATGAAGGGATGTGGAAGTGATCAGTAGTACTAAGTGGAGTTTGATCTCAGAATTTGGTTTCCAATATTGATTATGTTACCCTGTGCATAGTGCTTCTCTTCTCTGTGCCTCAGGTTCCTACAACACAAGAAAAATGAATAGTTTACTCATAGAGCTATTTTGAGGATTAAAATCATTGGTAGTAAATACAAAACACTTAGAACAAAGCCTAACATAAGAAAGTAAAGCTTGGGAGCTCTGGTAGCATAGTGCCTAAGGCACTTGACTGCTAACCAGAAGGCTGGTGGTTCAAACCCACAAACCATTCCTCAGAAGGAAGTCTGGGCAATCTACTTCCGTAGTGATACTGCCTTGGATACCAAGGAGGGGTCGCTATGAGTCAGAGTTTTTGTTGTAAGTAGTAGTAAAAGAGAGGAAACTGTGTCCTACACATCCATTTTAGCCATAGGACCTAACACAGAGATTTAAGTGGAGTCTCGGGGTGATGTTGGACTATTACTGAAAAGTTGACAGTTTAAAGCCACCCGAAGGCTCCTAAGAAGTAAAGCCTCACAATCTGTTTCGAAAACATCACAGCCTTGAAAATTGCATGGATCATCAAGAATTGGAAATGACTCGATGGCAATGAACAATAGGAACAATTATTCATTACAAATTACCTGGTTATTAATCATTTTTCTGTTTAGGTTTTTCATAATAGGACATTGGAGGTTAAATCATATGAAATTGGAATTTTGTGAGTCAAAATATTAATATCTCTTAAATATTGTCCATTTTACATGGTTCACCTTCATTTTGATTATTTCAAGTTGCATTAAAAAGTGTTCATTTAATTATGCATCCAATAAGTTCAAATATTTTGTAGATACTTTTGTAATGACTGACAAAAATGTGTGTGTGTATACTAAATATAGTGTTGTTTGCCATACATGTAAAATATATTCATGTATAATAGAAAATAATTTTAAAATATATTTGAAACCTGGAATTAATTTAAATATATCTGAAACATGGAAAATACATGTTTACTAATTTATTTTTCTATTATGCAGCATGCAATTGCCATGGGAAAGCTGAAGAATGCTATTATGATGAAAGTGTTGCCAGAAGAAAACTGAGTTTAAATATACATGGAAAGTACATTGGAGGGGGTGTGTGCATTAATTGTACCCAAAATACTGCTGGTATAAACTGTGATACATGCATTGATGGCTTCTTCAGACCCAAGGGGGTAAGTGTCCTCTTTCTTTTATAAAGTGCTATTATAGCTTTTTCTACAGAGATGTAGTACACAGAAAAAATATTTTGATAGCTTCTCTAGTAAATTGAACTTCAAATTCCAAAAGGTGACTGGAAACCTTTCTCAGTTGAACAAAGCAAAAGTGATATAAATCTTTGAGAAGGTGCTATAAACATTTCTGTCACTAGCAAAAGTTCCCTTGTGCTTCATTCCAATCACTTTCTCATCCTCCTTTAGTCAAAAGCAGTTCTGATTTTTAGAACATAATTTAGTTTTGTGTGTTAGTGAACTTCATAAAAATGAGATCATACAGTACACACTCTTCTACATCTTCCTTCTTTGACTCTACATATATTTTGAGATTTATCCATGTTGTTGAATATATGAGAAGTTCTTTTTTATATACATCTATTGCTGAGAAATATTGCATTACATGAATATTTTAAAATTCATTTTCTTGGGACGTTTGGATTGCTTACAGTTTTAGAGAAATAAGTCTCTACAAGTCTTTCTGCAGTCATGTTTTTATTTTTCTTCTATATATACCTGGAAGTAGAATCCTTCCAACACACATCAGCCATTGAAAACTCTACAGAGCACTGTTATACACCGACCCACGTGGTATCATCTTGAGTCGGAATCAACTTGATGGCTTTTATATTTTGAGTTTCTTATAGGTACATGTTTGAAGAAACTGCCAACAGTTTGCCAAATTATTAATAACATTTATACTTTCACTAAAACTGAGAAGGTGATATAAACATTTCTGTTTATATCATTTATGAGTTACCTTTGTCCCATATAATCTCTAATATTTGATGTTGACTATAATTTGAATTTTAGCCATTCTGCTGGGTGTGACATGGTATCTCACTATGGATTTAATTTACATTTCATATACTCACTGGCCATTCATATGTTTTTTGTATGTAAAATGTCAATTAAAGTCATGATGCTTTATGTTCTCTTTTCAAACTTTGTAATTTTAGCTTTTAGTACTATGGTCCATCTCAAATAAATATTTGTGTGTATGGTATGAGATAAGGGTGGAGATCTACATGGTTTAAACTGCTGTTCTAGTATAATTTGTTGAAAATACAACAAATTCTCTTTTGAATTTCTTTGGAGTATTTGTTGAAAATCAGTTCATCAGACAAATTGCACCAATTCCTGGAATCTTAATTCTGCTCCAGCATTTGTTCATCCTATGCAAATACACACTATCTTGACTTTAACTTTAATAAACTTGGCATTCAGACAGTTTATATGTACCACATTTATTCTTCTTTTGAAGATTGTTTCAGTTCTCTATGTTCAGAATCAATTTGTCAATTAGAGGAAATATTATTTGGGATCATCACACAGAATGTACAGACAAATAGCAAGAGAACGGAATCTTCATAATATTGAATTTTCCGATCAATGAGCATATAGCATTTCTCCATTTATTTATATATTCTTTAATTATTCACAGCAGTGTATTCAGTGAAGAGATCTTATATGCCTTCTGTTAAATTTACTCCTCAGTATTTTGCATCATTTAAAAAAATGTATTTTAAAAAATAACTAATTCTTTGGCTCTATGATATGGAAATATTTTTGTATATTGACTTTATACTCAATATCCATGTTATGTTCACTTACTAGTTTTAGTAGTTTTAAACTAGACTCCTCAGAAGCTTGTTGTCTGCAAATAAATTCAAGTTTATTCTTTCTTTATAACGCAAATGCAACAAACACACTGCCCTCTAGTAGGATCCAACTTATAGTGACCCCTCATTTGGTTTTCCGAGGCAGTATATCACTAGGGAAGTAGATTGCCCAACCTTCTTTCCAAGAAGTTTATACCAATGTTAAAATAAAAATTGCGGGTGCAGATATATTTGCCTTGTTCTCCATATTGAAGTAAAACATGTAATATTTCACCTTGACCCCATATGAGCTGCAAGGAGCTCTGGTGGCATAGTGCCTAAGGCATTTATTTGACTGCTAACCAGAGGGTTCAAACCCACCAGCCACTCCTGGGGAGGAAGATTGAGCAATCTACTTCCGTAAAGATTTACCATCCCGGAAACCCAAAGTGGGTCACTGTGAGTGAGAATTGACTCCATGGCAATGAGTTTGGGTTTTTTTTTTGGTTGTATATGAGCTGTAGATTTTTCACAAACATGTCAGATCCAGGAAGTTCCCTTCTATTTACTAGAGTTTTTACAATACTAAAGTATTGAGTTTTGTGAAATGCGTTTTTGCATCTATTAAAATGAACATTTGGATTCTCTCCTTTACTCTATTAATGTGGTGAATTTAAACTGACAGATTTTGTTAATATTAAACAAGCCCTGAGATACTACTTAGTTGTAAAATGTTATCTTTTTAATATATGACTCAGTTTGCTATTCAAGTTTTTCTGCATCTTCTCTTAAGGGATATTGGTCTGTAATCTTATTTTCATGAAATATCTTTGTTAGGTTTTTATATTACACTATACTGGCCTCAAACAATGAGTTTGGAAAATCCAGTTGTGCCTCATTTCTAAAACAATCTCTACAATATAGGATTTAATCTTTAAAAATGTTCAACAGAATTCCCCAGTGAAACTATTTAGGCCATTAATTTTTATTTTGGGGAAGAGCTTTGATAATGAATTCTATTTTAATGTATATAAGGCTAGGTTGCTTTTGTATTATTTTTCCTTAGGTCAGTTTTGACATATTGTGTTTTTAAAACAGTTTATTCATCTCATTTAAATTGTGATATTTATTAGCATAACATTTTTTTTCTAATATTTCCTTTGCTATAGTTTTTTAATTCTGTCATTTCTATATTGATATTACCTCTTTAATTCTAAAATTATTAATATTTTTTCTCTTTTATTGATCACTCATGATAGAGGTTTATCAATTCTATTAATTTGTTAAGAAATGTACCTATGTATCTTATTTTTTTTCCTATTTGGTGTTCTAATTATTGATTTCTTCTCTGATGAATTATATCATTCTTTTAAGCTGCTTTGGGTTTAAATTACCTAATCTTTTGCTGACTTTTTCTGTTTTTGAAAATGTTATGAACTCTTGAAAAAATGGATTTTAGAAATGGCAACTATGCATTAAAGGTAATGTTTATATTATGAACTTTACCAAAATAATATATTGTTGTATATTATTAAAGTTAATTTGTCCTTAAAATATTTTCAGAATAGAAAAATATTGGTATTTTTAATTTACTTGTTAAAAGCATTTAAAATTTTTTTCTTAGGTGTCCCCAAATTATCCAAGACCATGTCAGCCATGTCACTGTAATCCAGTTGGTTCCTTAAATGAGGTCTGTGTCAAGGATGTGAAACATATTCGAAAAGGTGAGAGAGGTAGTCAGGAAGCACTGTTCCAATAAAAGGAGAACAAAAAGCAAAATATGATAATTTTCAGAATAAAAATTTATAATAAATTTTATGTAATAAATTTATTCTTAAATCTGTTCATGTTCTTTCATCTAAGTGACTCACTACATATTTTATTTTAATGCTCTAAAAGCAAGAGTTGAATCACAGAAGATATGTATGTATGTATGTCTATTTATGTCTATATGTATCTTATCAATCACAGATATGTGGTATACGTTATTTTTTATTCATTTGGCTGTTAGGTTCTTTTATAGGTTTTGTGATGTGTACTGCGGTGGGCAAAGTGAGCAGAGATCACGTAGTAAGGGACGTAAAATGCAGGATATGTAGACAGGAAGAAGTGTACAGAGGACTAAAAGAGAGAACAGTCTTGAGTTAATGCCAGAAAAGAGGGTGAAATTAATTTAAGCCAAACACTTTGAGGAATTAAATTCATGATAACTCCAAATACTGAGGTATCAAATGCCAGCGTAACTCCTTGATGTAAAATATTTGGGAGTTACTTCCAGGTAAATCGCTTTCCAAGTTTAAGTATAATATTCATTCATGAAATGTATCTGGAACAATTTCTTTTAATCTTTAAAAGTAGATTTTCTTTTCTTTGGAAAGACTAAAATAAATCATGGATACAATGTGGACAATGTAGGTTTTTTTTTGTTTTTTTTTTCCCCCTCCAATGACTTTAGGTTTAAAGGACTGGCAGTGTTTCTTTGGCAAACCGTAATTTACCTGCTTTCTTTAGAAAACTGTAGGATTATCAATTTGAGCCTTATGGTCTTAACTCTTGAAATATAAAAAATACATTATTTAGAGTCATTTTTTCTTTCTATGACCCCTTTTCCTTTTTAGAGGAGCAGCAAAATAGGAATTCATTTTCTGTCATGTCACTTAACTCCTTTTTAAAATGATAAATATGTTACCATTGAACAAGTTAAGAAAAAATTAAAGAGAGAAAACTAATGTACAACATAATGGTAATTTCAGCAGAGATACCACTATTGTCATACTTATGTATTTTGTCATAATACATAAATAACTTTTAAATTTTGTTCCTTTTAACTTTCCATAATGAATTTTCCTCATATCTTTTTTTAAAAAGTTTCTCTGCAAATCTGATACTAGTACCTGTGTAGTAGGTTATCATATGTATACCATATTTACCCTTCAAATTTATAGTGGCATTAAGAGTGTTTCCAATTTTTGTTTATTGTAACTGATGCTTTAATGAAGACCTTTCTATAACAATATTTTCCAACTAGTCTAAAACAATAATAGCAAAATAAAATTGTAATGGTAAGGAAGGCATAAAATACTAATAATCATGCTCTAGCCTACCTATTCAGCACGTGCCACTTCCCAAAGTTACACATATTGGACTTTAGTTCATTCAGTTCTTTAGGGATTTACCTCAAATATCAGAATAATATTGTCATCAGTATTGTTTACTTTATCAACATTAAATATTGAATTATGACTTTCCATTTTTGAAAGACAAAAAATGTTTCATTATTCCCACTTCCTTCCTCCTTTCCATCATATATCTCTCCATTTCAATTATGTATTGCTCCCACAGTATTTTTATCATGTTAAGTACAAGTTCTGCTGTGCATGGGGTCGCTATGAGTGGGAAATGACTCCACAGCACCTAACAACAACAACAAGTACAACCTTAAACATCTATTTCGTGATCTGTTAATTAGGACTTTATGTCTTAAGGCCCTCCTACACGGGATGAGAAAAAGACAATCCTCATAGCCCTCACTGATCTTCCAACTCATGTGACAATGCCTGTCTGTTGTATGTTTACATTTTCAAAAATTGTAACAGCTATATTTGACTCTGAATCAATAATTAATTCTTCCAATTTTAAGACTTAAATCTAATAAACAAGATTTACAATATTATGATTAAATGTATTTTATTATAGAACTGAGTTGCAAAATTGTACATGCACTAGAAATTGATTTTTTATTATCATGTTTGATGTATTGATCTCTTTAGATAAGGGTCTAAGATGTAGTTTCATGGTTTAGTATTCTTAGTCAGATACTGCAACTTTAGTGTGAAATATGCTATTCCAGTGTCTCATTTGAATTAAATTGATTACTAAGAAAAAATGGGAGCTCTGGTAGCATAGTGGCTAAGACACTTGCCTGCTCACCAGAAGGCTGGCGGTTCAAACCCACCAGCCACTCCTCGGAAGGAAGGTTGGGCAATCCTACTTCCGTAGTGATACTGCCTCGGAAACCCAAGGAGGGGTCGCTATGAGTCAGGGCTGACTCGACAGCACATAACAACAACAACAACTAAGAAAATATAAATATGTTTTTCTGTGAACTCTTTGTTTCCTTGTTTTTCATTTGATGTAAGATACTTTTCCCTCATATATTTGTAAGAGTTCTTTGAATATTTAAAATAATACTTGTATGTGTATTTGTTATAAACAATTTCCAAATTTGTTTTGTGCTCCACCACAGTTGATGAGAATGTCTAATGGAGAGAACTTTAACAGTTTTATGTGATCAGCTGTCGTAATTCAGATAACCGTCTTTAGCTTTAATAATGATGCTCCACAAAACAAACCCATTGCCATCGTGTCTATTCTGACTCATACCAACCCCCATTGGGTTTCCAAGGCTGTAAATCTTTACAGAAGCAAACTGCCTCCTCTTTCTTCCACAGAATGGCTAGTGGGTTCAAGCCACCAACCTTTTGGCTAGCAGCCAAATGTCTTAACCACTACACCAACCAAACCCAAAACCAAACCCACTGCCATCCAGTCATTTCTGACTCATTGAGACCCCCACTGAGCTTCCGAGGCAGGAAATATTTATGGAAGTAGATTGCCCCATCTTCCAACCTTCTGATTAGCAGTCAAATGCTGTAGGTATTGGGCCACCAGAGTTCCTTTAATAAAGATACTATACTGTATCTTCTATATTTACATATAGTTTTCTTTAAAAGGATCTACATATTTCATGTTGGGTTATTCTTATTCCAAAATTGATTTTGCTTGCTTGCTTCTTGCTAGTTCATTTGATAGTCAATGTTTCTTTTTTACACATTTTATCTAATACATTTTCATTTGTGTATTTGTTTAATTTAGTTGTATAATGTTTTTATTTAGCTATTTTACCTAGTTTTCAATTCCAACTATTATACAGTTGGTTGAATTTTTCAAAAATAGACAAGAATATTGTTTGTAAATAACAATGATTTATACCCTTGTGTTCTTGGAATTACACCTCACAAAAAAGTTACTGTTTGATTATACGTGCGATAAGTTCACAAATAATATTGCCTTTTAGTCACAACATCATCCATCATTTTCTATGTTCTGAATACTATACTATCAAAGAGCTCTGGTGGCCGAGTGGTTAAAAGCTTGGCTGCTAACCAAAAGGTTGGTGGTTTGAATCTACCAACCACTCTGCAGGAGTAAGATGTGGCAGTCTGCTTCCAAAATAGATTTACAGCCTTTGGAACCTTATGGGGCAGTTCTACTCTGTCCTATGAGTCAGAATAGACTCAATGGCAGTGGGTTTGGTTTAGATCATCCAGAAAAATGATTAAATTATAGCTGCACAAATGAATTACATTGCCTCTTTGTGGAATGTTATGAAACTGTGAATAGGTGAAAGACATTTTTAACAAATACTTACACATGTGCTTAAACTATAAAGAATAAGAAATAGAACATTTAGGATGGTAGTTATCTCTGGAGGAGGCATGGGGAGAGTGAGTCCTCAAAGGTCTTTGTTGTATTTTATCTCTGTATCCAGGTGATCGATATAGTAAGTACCTATAATTTCCATACAACTATTGTCATTGTTATTAGGTGCCATTGAGTCATCTCCGACTCATCACGACCCTATGCACAGCAGAACAAAACACTGCCCAGGCTTATGCCAGCCCCATGACCCTTGCTATACCCGAGCCCATCGTTGCAGCCACTGTGTCTGTTCATCTCATTGAGGGCCTTCCTCTTCTTCATTGACCCTCCACTTTACCAACCATGATCTCCAGGGAATGGGCCCTTCTGACAACATGACAAAAGTAGGTGAGAGAAGTCTGGCCATTCTCACTTCAAGGAGCATTCTGGCTGCATTTCCTCCAGAACATATTTATTAGTTCTTTTAGCAGTCAGTGGTACTTTCAGTATTTACAAGACCACAACTCGTAAAGCATTGACTCTTCTTTGGTCTTTCTTACTCATTGTCCAGCTCTCACATGCATATGAGGCAATTGAAAATACCATTGCTTGGGTTAGGGGCATCTCAGTCTTCAAGGAGATATCTTTGTTCTTCGTCACTTGAAGGAGGTCTTTTGCAGCAGATTTGCCCAATGCAATATGTCGTCTGATTTCTTGACTGGTGCTTCCATTGGTGTTGATTGTAGAAACAAGTAACATGAAATCTTTGACAACTTCAATCTTTTCTCCATTTATCATGATGCTGCTTTTTGATCCAGTTATGAGGATTTTTGTTTTCCATATATTGAATTGTAATCCACACTGCAGATTGTAGTCTTCAATCTTCCTCAGTAAGTACTTCAAGTCATTCCCATTTTCAGCAAGCACAGTTGTGTTGTCTGTGTATCGCAGGTTGTTAATGAGTCTTCCTCCAATCCTGATGCCACGTTCTTCATACAGCCCAGCTTCTCGGATTATTTGTTTTTTTCACTTGATCGATGCACCCATAGGTCAAATGATGTGTTGAAAAATGTATTTATTGATATTAAAATATGTTTATACTACCAGAGTAAATTATACTTGGTCATCATGGAAGGTACTTTCAATGCAGTTGGTGTTTATTTTATTTAGAATTTCCTCATCTAGAATCATAAATTAAATTGGTACTATAGAGTTGGTAATAGCACCTACTCTATCGAGATAGTTTTAGTGTTAGCATTCTAGTGTGGAATGCTAATATAATGGCTAGGACAACAAAAGGATTATTATGTAAGTGTTAATCTGTTATGTTTATTTTGGGTTATCTTTGTAAGATAATGATACTAGGATTTTATTAGCTTTGTAAACCAAATTGCTTTGTTCTCCAAATTTTATATGTCTTATAAGAGTTACAAATTTTAACACATTCGTAAAAATTAACTGGTACTAAAACACTTTTTTTGGTAATTCTTTGCTAATTTTTCCTCTTCTAAAGTCCATAATATCATTGTTTAAGCTTTCCTTTTTTGATTACGTTTTTTAATCTTCTTTTTCTGTGTTTTTATTTTTGACAATTATATGGATCGATTTATATCCATGTAATTGTTAAAAATAAAGAAACACAAAAAAGAACACAGGGAAAGAATGACTCACAGAACATAACAACAAAAAAAAATGGATTGGTTTTAATTAATATGGATTAATAATTATTTAATATTTAATTAATATGTAATAAAGAAATATTTAAGCATATAAGTTTGCTTTTGGCTAATTTATATAAACATTGCTAAGTTCCATTTCACTCTTAGTATTTCAATTTAGAAAACGATTTAATCTGTAACTGATGTTTTGATTTGGTCCTCTCCCCATCAGTTGTTAAGGAGAGATTATTAAAATTAATTGCAGAGTGGTTAAATTTTTAAATAAACCTATTATAATGTTTGATATTGATTTTATTCCTAATTTTGTGACATTTAGTAAAAATCTAGAAGTAGTTAGTGGTTCATGTTAAGAGAATAAGCTTTAGATAGTTTCTGCTTTGAGAAACCAAACATTTTTGTGTATTAGTCAATGAAGAGCTATAGTAAATATTTAAGTTTATGTATTGTATGATGTATAATTCAATTATACTTGATTATTCAAATTTCTTTTTTATAATTTATTTGTGAAATATTTAGAATGACTAGATTAATGTCATTTGTCTTGCAAAATTCTATCATGCGATCTCCAGTGTTATTTCTGTTGCCAAGGCCATATTTTCCAACTACCAGTGATTCTTCTTTGTTTCCAACTCTTGCATTCCAGTCACCAGTGATAAGCAACACATCTTGATTGCATGTTCAGTCAATTTCAGACTGCAGAAGTTAATAAAAATCTTCAATTTCCTCATCTTTGGCTTTGGTGGTTGGTGCATAAATTTGAATACTCATAGTATTAACTGGTCTTCCTTATAGGCAAATGGATATAATCCTATTACTAACAGCATAGTACTTCAGGAAAGATCTTGAAACATCTTTTGTGATGATGAATGCCACACCATTCCTCTTCAATTTGTCACTCCTGGCATAGTAGATCATATGGTTGTCTGATTCAATATTTCTTTGATTTCCAATATATTTGTTGGCTATATATTTTTAAGGAGCTCTGGTAGTGTAGTGCCTAAGGCATTTGACTGCTAACCAGAAAGCTAGTGGTTCAAATGCACCAGCCACTTCTCAGAAGGAAGATTGGGCAATCTACTTCCTTAGTGATACTGCCTCAGAAACCCAAGGAGGGATCGCTATCAGTTGGATCCAACTCAACAGCAATGAGTTTGGTTTTTAGTTTTATTTATTTTTATAATTATAATTTGCTCTTATTTGGAGGAAAATAAAATAACTTATGAGTTTTTTTTTTTTTTTTTTAATTCTACCTTTATCAATTGTAGTGACAGCTTCTCCTGTTGAGTCCACATTCTACTGTGGTGTAAATTAATAATAATACTGCAACTGTTTTTCTTTCCTATAAGCTTTCCTAATGTGTATTTACCAGTTCCTTTATTTTTAAACATTCCATTATTTTGTGTATGTTTTACACATATTGTATGTTTATGTTTTTAATAGCAGCAGTATACCTATTTAGATCATTTATATATGTTTAGTTGTATATTTGACATTATTTCTGTCATTTTATTTTATGCTTCCTCAATATAATTTTTTTCTTTTTCCTCCCTCTTTGCCTTTTCTGAGTGACCTATGTTTTGTTGATTTACTTCTTTTTTCAATTGAGTCCAATGATTTTTACTCATTCCTACTGCATTCAATTACTATTTTTTAATCATCAAAGACAAAAATTGAAAAAAAAATGTTCTTTGAATTTCTCTATAAAAAAAGGAAATTTATACTGCTTTCATTTCTGTCCTCTGTTTCTTCTTATTACCAAAATAAACCCATCCCCTTGATCACCCTTAGTCTATAGTAACTCTGCCATTGATGTTGTACTTAGATTATTACTGTTAAATTTCTACCTTAAGCAATACATTTTCACTCCCAAGGTTCTTCTCCATCTCTGTTAATCTGGTGAGACAGACTTGCCTCACATATTCATGGATTACTGCTTATTCTTTTCAATCTAGTGTCATCAGTGTTAGAGTTTATGGGATTTCTTTCTTGATTGTTAGAATATTTCTGAAGCCTCAGTTTTGAAAAGAATTCATCTTTCCTTTGTCTTTTTAATAATTTTTAACCCCCCCCCCCCAAAAAAAAAACCCACCCCACTGCTGTAGAGTCGTATCCGACTCATAGCGACCTTTCCCTGGGTTTCCGAGGCAGTATCTCTACGGAAGTAGATTGCCCAACCTTCCTTTGGAGGAGTGGCTGGTGGGTTTGAGGTGCTTAGAAAATATATTAGCGAACGGTAGCCAACTTCTAATTAAACCCTATCCTTTTTCAGTTTAAACCATTGTTTAACTTTTGTGTATCTTATATCTAATTTTTATGTCAAAATAGACTCTTAAAGGTTGTTTTCATTAAAATTCTGGCAACCTAATCATGTGTTAGTTTTGTTCTTGATAAATGTCTCATCTTTCCTTAGGTCTGGCTCCTGGATCCTGTCATTGCAAAAGTGGCTTTGGAGGGGTGAGGTGTGATCGGTGTGCCAGGGGTTATATTGGCTACCCCACTTGTCAACCCTGCAACTGCAGTGGCATGGGGAGCAGAAATGAGGACCCTTGTTTTGGGCCCTGTGACTGCAAGGTACATTGTTTATTCCAGTAATGTCCTACTGTAAGACAGAAGGTCATTTTCCTTGGCCTCTCTGTTATGCTTTCTGGCATTAAGCAATTGTAACAACTTCTGTAAACATTCAGTATTGATTCTATATGTGACATTCTTGTAAATGTCTTTTAAATGGCTACCAGGTTCATTGCAGCAAGACATTTATAAGTCACCTGATGTTTGTCTAAACACTTACAAATATACAGGAGATAAGTCAGCTTTAGAATCTGTTATTTTATAGCTGAAACACTTCTCCCATTACTATTCTAGCCTATAAAATTAAAAACATATGGCAATAACTATAGCAACATTTTAAAACTACAGTATACTCAAATCTACTATAGTACTGCATCTCATCCAGAAAATATTTATGTTCAGGGTATCATTCTGGGTTTTTAAGTAATCTGATATTTGAAACTAGGTAAGTCTTAAAATATTCAGCATATTTAATATTTTCTGTTTAATTACCAAAAATGTAACATACCTCAGTGGATCAGATTCAAGGCTCAATATTTCTTCCCAGGAGTAATTTTATATATTCAACTTTATTTCAATAGCTTTTCATGTTAACACCAAAGGGTGCATTATTCCTACAGCTTATACCTACAGAGGAAACAGAAGAGGCATACACAACTCTAAAATGCTAAGACAGATCTCATTTTGCTATAGTAAATCATTTCCATAACATTTGATCAAATAGTGTATAACTACATTTACTGAGAAAATAAACAATTTATGGAAGAAGATAAAATGCCACACCAATGCAGAAATGGATGTTACTTCTTTTTTTCTCAGTGGTGGATGGGATTTTATAAGAGTCTTTCTATCGTTACTTCGTTCATCTTAGCTGGGTGCCTATAAAATATTATATCCTTACAGTTGCTATATATATATGTAAGAAAACAATAAGCCACAATAAAGTGTAAATATAAGTATTGTAATTAAGTGTATATTTATAGGAATAAGAATATCTGAACTATCAAGCTAAATATTATTATAGTTATATAATAGGGATTTGCTCTCAAAAAAGAAAAACTCACTGCCATTGATTGAGTTCTAAGGCTGTAAATCTTTATGGAAGCAGACTGCCTAATCTTTCTTCCATGAAGCAGTTGGTGGGTTTAAACCACTGACTTTTTGGTTAGCAGCCAAATGCCTTAACCAGCACACCACTAGAGCTCCTCAGGGATATGCTGTATCAGAAGTAATTTAAGTCCCTACTTCAGAATATTGAATTTTTTTTTTTTTTTTGGTCTAAACAAACAGGCAGAGTCTGCAGCCTCTTGTTAAAGGATGGTTGTGTGCTGGAATATAGCAAATTTTTAGATCTAATTCATTCCATTCCAGTATCACCTGAAAAGAAGAAACAATTGCTCTGCTAGATCAAGTCTTTTTAGAACTCTGTAAGTGATTGCCTATTTAAGGACAACTCCCCTTCTTCATCCTGTATGTCTTTTTGGGCAATCTTATAGGCCTTTAGTACTCTCCTCTAATATTTACCAAAACATATCCTGTGTGTGTTTTACCCCTTCTGTGAAAATCCACAGAAATCTCTAACCTTTACTACTTACTCAAATAAAAGAAAGCTAAGGCTGAGCTTAAAATCGAAGAGAAACTTCTTAAGTATCTAGGGTATGGTATGTCAAACTGGAAAAAAAAAAAAAAGTTTTTTCTATATGTATCTTTCACAGAACAGAGATGCCTGATATTTGCAAGGGAAGAATAACAAATCATGAGTGAGGCAGGTCACATTTTATGAATTTCCATTGGCAAATACAGCAAGAAAGGCTAAAACAAGAGCACTTCAGCTATCAACAGAGCTCTGAGGGAAAGCTCTTGGAGTTACTAACTGCCTGTTTTCTGTATGACTCAATATTGCACCAAGAATGATTGTAATCCCAATTAAGAAAAATATTTCCCTCAAAGACACTTGAAACTCTGCAAAGATAATTAAAACCAAACAACAGACAACAATTTAGATATCATAAAAGAAAATGGATAATTAAATAAATAGTATCATTAAGAGTTGCCATCCTGTAACTTGGGACCAGAAGAATTATATGGTGCCCAGCTACAACTGGCAACCCCTCTGACCAGGACGACAGTAGAAGACCTGATGAGAATGGGTAAAAAATGTAGAAAGAAATTCAAATAAGAACAATAACAGATTAGTGGTCTGAAAGAGACTGGAGGAACCCTGATACTATTAACCAATGACAGCTATCTAACTTGAAAGTAAAGACACTCCTGGAGGCCACCTTTCAGCCAATGAATAAACAGGACTGAAAAATAAACAATAACACTGAGAAGGATGTGCTTCTTAGAACAGTCAACTGTATGAAGAGAACAACATTTGCCCAAAACCAGAGACAAGAAGGCAAGAAGAGATGGGAAACAGAAGAATGGAAAAATGGAAACAGGGAACTCAGGAAGGAAAAGGAAACAGTGTGAATACATTGCAGAGATTGCAACCAATGTCATGGAACAATGTGTGTATGAATTATTGATTAGAAAGTCAATTTGGTATGTAAACTTTCACCTACAATCAAGTATCCAAAAAAAAAAAAATTTCCCTTTATGTGATACTTTAAATGGAAGTCTACTAACTTTTATAAAGTAAAAGTATTTTTAGAATAAAAGGGCAGAAAACAACTTTTATTAAATATTTACATTGTTATAAATCACAAACTGTATACACATGACGTATGAATTATATCACAATATGTGAGGTATGAATATACTATAATTGCGTATAGCCTCTTTTTTGAGAAAGAATAAATAGTCCAGGACTCGAACAAAATACGTAGGTAATTTAAATACTGAAAAGACACTTATAAACAAGAGAAAATGCAATATTCATTCCGTTTTTGCAAAATCATGATTTGGCATAAACCAAACTCACTGCTGTCGAGTAGGATCCAACTCATGGCAACTCCTCCTCAGGTTTCTAGCATGATATCACCACGGAAGTAAATCACCCAGTCTTCCTTCTGAGGAGTGGCTGGTGGGGTTGAACCACCAGCCCTCTGGTTAGCAGTCAAATGCCTTAGGCACTACATCATCAGAAATATTATTAATATAGCAACATGAATGAAAATCCTATTTAGTAAGCATGGTTTTATTCAGAGAATGATATTAGAGAATTAAATTGAAATGAAATTACAGATTTTGGTTGAATAAAAGAATATATGCACATATGTCTATATATTTATACAGAGTTGATTAATTTTTTATAAGCAGGAAGAATATAAATTACATGTAAAATAATGTCTATATAAGTGTTCATAAACACAATTAATATTACCTCATGACATGTGTACATTTATTCCCTTAAATTGTATTGTATACTAGATTTTCATAACTTTCTAGACATATCTTCATTTACTGAAGTGTGTAGACATGTAAAGGAAGCTTTTTATTGTGAACTCTTGGGACATTTATTTCTATTATAAAGTTTGAATATTTCTGTTCTGGAAAACTGATATATTGAGCTGATGTGGATATTTTCCCATTTCTTTCATTTTACAATTTTCATATCCAGCACTTATCTTATGCTGGATAAAGTATAGAAGTTAAATTAATAAACATTCCAATTCAGAAAAATATGGGAAGTTACTACATATCAGAGTGGGAAAGTTAACCATAAGCTCAAGTAAAGCTGAGACACTTTATAAGGTATGCATATTGTGAAGTGTAGAAGGAGGTAGTGTGGTAATTGGTTATTGCCCTAATTTGGGACCTGAAGTTTGAGATGTTAATGCCCTCAACAGAATTTAAGACTAGGATTTAAATCTACAGAGGGAAACCGGGACTGAACCCACTTAAGTTCATTGTTGTGTGGCATCAAGACAAATATGAGTCTTAGTGAGCCTATGGGACAGAGTAGAACTGCCCCTTAGTGTTTCCTAGGATGTAAATCTTTATGGAAACAGATCAACAGGTATTTTCTCCTGCAGTGCAGCTAATAGGTTAGAATCAGTCACCTCTTGAGTACCAGCCCAGCACTTTGCATCACAGGGCTCCTTTACTTAAGTTTGAACCCCTGAAATCCTCCCTGACTTTGAACCAAACCAAAAACAAACACACTGCCATTGAGTTGGATCCAACTCATAGCTACCCCTCCTTGGGTTTCTGAGGCATTATCACTACAGAAGTAGATTGCCCAACCTTCCTTCCAAGGAGTGGCTGGTGGGTTTGAATCACCAACCTTCTGGTTAGCAGTCGAATGCCTTAGGAACTAGAAACATCCCTTCTGTTATGAAGGGCAGCTAGAAAACTTTCTCTTTTCTTTGTGGCTCATAGTGGGGAACTATTAGTATCTTATTGAAAATCAAACCTCACAACCAGTGTCATATGGGTATGGAATGAAATTTGTCCTCCCTTTATGCTGAAATTTGCAATCCTATTTAATGAGTATGTCAGGTCCTTGATTGCACAGTAGGTAGTAATACAGTGACTTATACACATGAAAGGAGAAAGGAAGGGAGAAAGCTAAAGAACTATGAAGCTTTCACACTCGCTTGCCCTGATTCATATTTCTTAATCTATGATATGGTTATATTACATCTTCCCTGTCTCTCAATACATAATTATAATAATAATTATCTCAATAGGTAATTAGAATCATTAACTATAACAGTGAAACCCCACTCAAATAGGAAGCATAATCATAAATAGCTTCTGGATTACACTTCTTTGTTTATTTATATTGCTTTTCACAAGTAGAGATAAGTTGTCATTCCATTTCCATAATAGGATATTTAGGGTGAGTGCGGTCATTTCTGTTGGTTTCCTATTTTCCTTCCCTTTTTCCATTTATGTATAGGAATGACAATTTTCTTAACTGTTTAGACTTGAACTTTGAGTCATTTCTACAAAGGGCCTTCAACTTATGTTTGATACTGAACATTGTATATGCTAAATTTTTTAGCATGAGAAATGCCTCTTGCATCAGCTACAATTATTCAAATAATGTATGT